ACACACACACACACACACACACACACACACACACACACACACACACAGAAAGAGTATTGGATATAAGGATTACAGGTAGTCCTCAATGTATGGCCACAATTGAGCCCAAAATGATTGTCTGACGAGCAATGTCAATGGGGAAGCCCGGTTCACTTAATAACCATGTGACTAACTTAACGACTGCACTTAACAACTGTGGCAAGGATGTTCGTAAAATGAAGGCAAAGCTCCCATCGCAACTGTCTCGCTTAGCAACGGAAATGTTGTCATAAACCGAGGACGACCCTGCAGTATTTTACGTTGTGTCTTTTTTCTTTATAGGCATGGAGTGGATTCCCAGCAAATACCGGGCCATCGTTGGCACGACCAATGGTTACAGCTACACAACTGGGCAGTTCATCCTGGCTGGCGTGGCGTATCTCATCCGCGACTGGCGCTGGCTGCAGCTGGCTGTCTCCCTCCCTTTCTTCATCTTCTTCCTCTACTCCTGGTAGGTGACACTGGAAGCTTCCAAAGAAGAGACTGGACTGCCATTCTGTCAGAAATGGTGTAGGGTCTCCTGCATGGGCAGGGGGTTGGACTAGATGACCTACAAGGTCCCTTCCAACTCTGGTATTCTATATTCAATGGAACAGAAGTTGCCTTTGAAAGTTGTGGGAGCTTCATCCCTGGAAGCTTTCAAGAAGAGACTGGGCTGCCATTTGTCAGAAATGCTGCTTTGGAGGGGGTTGGACTAGATGACCTACAAGATCCCTCCCGACTCGGTTAAATCTATTAGGTTGGCAGAGTCAAAAAACGCCTTCTATTTTCTCCTCGCTGGAATAGTTTTCATTTTTAGGAATGGGCAGGAGGTGTTTTTTTTTTCCTGCTTTATTCTATTCTTGTTTTATAATTTTTTAAATTTTATTTTATCGGAGGATCCCACCACAGCCAGGCCAGAAGTAAATAATGAGATGGTTAGCTTCAGTAGATACTGAATTATAACATCTATCCCATTGCGAATTCTATACCTCCATATTATGGTGGTTTCATTCTGGTTTTTTATCTAAATTGAATGTTTTATCTTGTATATTATACTGTCCACATCTCTCTCTTTCTCTCTTTTTCTCCCTCCTGCTCTGTGTGTATGTACACACACACACACACACACACACACACAATTCTCTGCCTTCCATCCGATTCCTCCTTTCACTCTTAAATTCCCATCCCCTTTTCCGAGGCCCAGCTCTAACCACTAGGTCTCAGGGCTATCCGAGAGCTGCAAAATTAACTTCTTGACTTGCAGGTTTTTCGTCGAATCCGCCCGGTGGCTGGCCATTTCGGGGAACCACGAGAAGGCAACGCAGGGGCTGAAAAAAGCTGCCTGGATTAACGGGAAGAAGGAAGAAGGGAATAAACTCAGTGTGGAGGTACGAGGCCCTGTTATTCCACCTGGAATCCACCCCCGCTCCCCCCCCTTTTTTTTCTTTTTTGCAAAATGCAATAAAAACTGGGATATTCTGCATTTTCCAAGGCTGGGGTGTGATGAATTTTTTAGTGGGAGCTGGCCCAACAATGCAGAATCGAGAAGGGCAGAGATGTGAAAAGGGGATTCTGGATGCTCTTAGCGATAGATTCTGCTTTTTCCAGGGCTGGTGTGCAAAGCTTTTGCACTTTCAAATCTGACAGCCTCCAGGCTGGGAATTTCTTTTGAAACTGGGCAAACCGAAAGAGGCCATCCCACCTTCTTCCCCCATGCATCCTGTTCTCCCCTTCCCCAATCTTTTAAATATGATTTTATTTGGATCGTGATCTTCATTTTATTTGTTTTTAGAAATATATATCTGTTAAGGTTTTAATGTTTCAATGCTGTAAGCCAGCCAGAGCCTCATTTGGCTGTAAGACAGGTGGAAAATAAATTTAATAAATGAATGAATGAATGAATTAATACACCTAGTCCTTGACTTATGTCCACAAGGGAGCCCAATATTTCTGCTGCTAAGTGAGACGATTGCTCAGTGAGTTTTACCCCACTTTATGACGTTCTTGCCACAGGTATTAAGCGAATCCCTGCGGGTGGGAAGTTAGTCACACAGTTTTAAAGTGAATCTGCCTTCCCCATTGACTTTGCTTGTCAGAAGGTCGCAAAAGGGGATCATGCGAACCCTGCAACCGTCGTAAATATGAGTCCATTGCCCAGCGTCTGAATTTTAATCACGTGACCAGGGAGAGACATTGCAAGGGTTGTAAGTGTGAAAAACGGCCGTCAGTCCTTTTTAAAGGGCCGTCGTAAACTTTGAGTGGTCAAGGATGACCTGTAAATCTGTCCAGGATGGTATAAGGACCCCTCCATTGGGCATGAGGTTGGACTGAAAGACCTCCAGGGTCACTTCCAGCCTCCTTATTCTGTGATTCTATCAGCTGTCTTGCAACTCGGAGGAAGGTTTCCAGGGGTGGGCTTCAAATTTTTTAGCAAGGGGCTCTCCGCCCTAATGATTGGCTGGGTGGGTGTGGCCAACTCGGCATCACTTCTTTGCCCTAATTATCTAAAAAGAGATATATACCCAAAAGGTAGTTTATTATTTCATGCATTTAATTGAATACTTCAATAAAAGACTGGGTGAAGCCAGGCTTACTAGCAGTGACTGTGAGAGGGAACTTGGAGGGAACTTCCGGTGAGTTATGTGATTCTTATTATTGGGGAATTAATCCCCTCGGAGGCTAGTAGCTTATGTGATCTGATTTTCTCAATGGCTCTCCCTTGCAAGTGCTGAGTGGATTGTTTATCTAGCTTGCAACACTTTTACAAGGTGTGAAATGCTCTTGGCTGGACGCCCAGAAGTTCGATTAAGCCTATTAGGAGCTTTCCCTTGCTGCTTGTCTTGTCTTTCTGAGGTTATTGCCCCGCAGTGTCTCAGTTGGGGGCTCTCCTGAGCCCCTGCTAGTCCCCAGCAGCCGACCCCCGGAGGTTACCCCAATCTTCTAGAAACGCAAAGGACAAAGACGTTATGATACGTTAGCAGTTCTTTAGACGAGCAATTGGCCAGTTCTCATTCCAAGAATCCCAATTTTTCCCCCCCAGTTTACTTTGTTCATTCGGGGAGTGGACAAAGCCTTGCACTGATTTTTCTTCTCCTCCTCCTCCTCCCCAGGTTTTGAGAGGCAGCATGCAGGCAGAGGGTTCTCCCATCAAATCCAGACACAGTATGGCCGACCTGGTGCGCACGCCGGGCATGCGTAAAATTTCCTTTGGCGTCAGCTTCTTCTGGTAAGAGTCGTTTTTTTCTTCCCTGCTCCTTGCTTTTTTTCCCAGAACGGCGGTTTCTTTTCCATCAAACCAGGTTATTCTACTTTGCAAGTCCTCCGTCCAGCTCTGGTCACAAGGTACCCCAAAAGAGGCTGAGTCCCTAAAAGAAGAACAACTAAGATGTTCATGGAGATTCTCAGTCATCCAAGGTCAGGGTTGATCCCAAAGAAGCTTTTTTTTTTCAAAAGGCAACCTGGACTTGTTTTTTCCAAAGTCCAAGTTGGAGAAGCACGTTTGGAACAACCACGAAGATGATTAGAGGACTGGAGACTAAAACATACACAGAATGGATTGCTGGAATTGGGTATATGTCTAGTTTATTTAATAAAGAGAAAGACCAGTGGAGACATGATGGCAGTGTTCCAATATTTGAGGGGCTGCCCCAGAATACTGCATCCAGTTTTGGTCACCACACTATAAAAAATATGTTAAGGCTCTAGAAAGAGTGCAGAGAAGAACGACTAAGATGATTAGGGGACTAAAACATTATGAAGAACGGTTGCAGGAACTGGGCCTGGCTAGTCTAGGGAAGAGAAGGACCAGGGGAGACAGGAGAGCATCTTCCAATATTTGAGGGGCTGCCCCAGAGAGGAGGAAGGGGGTCAAGCTATTTTCTAAAGCCCCCGAAGGCCAGACAAGGAAGAATGGATGGAAACTGATCAAGGAGAGATTCAGCCTGGAAATGAGGAGGAATTTCCGAACAGGGAGAACAATCAACCCATGGAACAGAAGTTCCCTTTGGAAGTTGTGGGAGCTTCATCCCTGGAGGCTTTCAAGAAGAGACTGGACTGCCATTTATCCAAAACGGTATCGGATCTCCTGCTTAGCAAAGGGTTGAATTACCTTCCTTAGATAAGCATGGAATTGAATTAGATGTCTAGTTTAATGAAGAGAAGTACTGGGAATGACACGATAGCACTCTTCCAATATTTGAAGGGCCATCCCACAGGGGAGTGGGGTCAACCTCTTCCCCAAAGCACCTGAGGGCAGGGCAAGAAGCAACGGATGGAAGCTTATCAAGGAGAGATCCAACCTAGAATTAAGGAGAAATTCCCTGACAGGGAGAACAATTACCGGTAATTAGTGGAGCAACTTGCCTCCAGAAGTTTTGGATTCTCTATCACTGGAGGTTTTCAAAAGTAGACCGGAAAGCCATTTGACTGGGATGGTTTAAGGTCTCCTGCCTTGAGCAAGGGTTGGACTAGAAGACCTCTGAGAACCCTCCCCACTCTATGATCCTCTGATCCCTAGGGACAAAGGGATCCAGATTTCCCCCCCCCCACCCCCAAGAAAAATAATGGCTGTTTTGAGGGGGAGGGTGTCAAGTTTTCCAATTCTCTCCTCCCCTTCTAGGTTTGCCACCAGCTTCGCTTATTATGGGCTGGCCATGGACCTGCAGAATTTCAATTTCAACATCTACCTGGCCCAGCTGGTGTTTGGCGTCGTCGACATCCCTTCCAAGTTCATCTCGGTGATCACCATCATGTACGTGGGCCGACGGTTCTCCCAAGCCCTCTCGCTGATCATGGCCGGCGTGTGCATCTTAGCCAACATCTTTGTGCCGCAAGGTAAGGATACCACCAGGAGTAAAACAGACTGGCTTCATAACCGGGGGACTAATGTCACAACTGCAGTGATATTCCCTTTAACAAACGCGGCGAGAAAAAAAGTCACCACATGGGACCAAACGCCTCACTTTGCGCCATAAATCCTGGGCTCAGTTGTGGTCGTAAGTCGAGGACCACCTGCGTTAATTTCAACCCATTTTAAGGGAGAAAAATTCCTCACATTGAGTGCAATCAGGCAATGGAACAACTTGCCTCCAGAAATTGTCGGGACTTCATCGCTGGAGGCTTTTAAGAAGAGACTGGACAGCCATTGGTCTGAAGTGGTGTAGGCTCTCCTGCTCCAGCAGGGGGTTGGACTAGATGACCTCCAAGGTCCCCTTCCAACTCTATTTCTGTGTTCTGTGTTCTAACACCAATAATAATTCAAATACCAGTCAAGGGCAGGAGCCTTATTTAATTCAGGTTGTTCAAAAGAATTTGACAAACAGAGGCATAGAATCAAGATCAGGTGAAGTATTAGTATGGCTTTATAAAACTGTAGTAAGACCACACTTGGAATACCTGACAACCAATTTTGGTTACCATACTGCAAAAAAGATGTCGAGACCTTGGAAAAAAACGTTCAGAGAAGAGCAACTAAGATGATGGAGACTAAAACATAGGAAGAATAGTTGCAGGATTTTTGGGTTTGGCTAGTCTGAAGAAAAGAAGAAATTAGGGGTGACATGAGAGCAGTATTCTAGTATTTGAGGGGCTGCCACAAAGAAGAGGGGGTCAAATTATTCTCCAAAGCACCTGAAAGCAGGACAAGAAACAATGGATGGAAACTAATCAAGGAGAGAAGCAACCTGGAATTAATTATACATTTCCTGACAGTGAGGACAATTAACCAGTGGAACAACTTGCCACCAGAAATCGTGGGCACTGGAGGTTTTTAAGAAGAGACTGGACTTCTTGTCTGAGATAGGTTGAGCAGGGGGCTGGGCTAGAAGACCTCCCAAGGTCCCTTCCAGCTCTATTCTATTCTAATTTTCCAAGCTAGAGGCTATCAAAATGAAGGCATTTACAATTTCCAAAGCCAATTTTCTCATTTTTGAGGTAGACTTAGTGGGATTTTCGAAAAAGCACTTTCCCACCAGCTCACTTTCTTCTCGTGCAAAAAAAAAAAAAAAAATATCGTTTTTTCCTGAAACCCAAGTAGAAATTCTGTGCCTGATTGTGAGTTTCTTGTCTCCTTAGATTTGAGCACTCTGAGGATGATTTTTGCCGTGGTTGGCAAGGGATCTTTGGCTGCTTCTTTCAATTGTGCCTACATCTTTTCTGGAGAGCTTTTCCCAACCATAATCAGGTGAGTAAAGCCAGCGGCATCAACCTTTTTTTCCAAAGCCCCAGGAGGCAGGACAAGAAACAAGCGATGGGAATATATCAAGGAGAGAAGGCAACCTGGAACTAAGGAGGAATTTCCTGACGGTGGGAATGATTAACCCGTGGAACTGCTTGCCCCCAGAAGTTGTGGGTTCTCCAACACTGGAGGTTTTTTAAGAAGAGATTGGATAACCATTTG